ACTACGCCACTACGCTACTACGCCACTATGCTACTACGCAACTATGCTACTTCGCCACTATGCTACTACGCCACTATGCTACTACGCCACTACGCCACTACGCTACTACGCCACTATGCTACTACGCAACTATGCTACTTCGCCACTATGCTACTACGCCACTATGCTACTACGCCACTACGCCACTACGCTACTACGCCACTATGCTACTACGCAACTATGCTACTTCGCCACTATGCTACTACGCCACTATGCTACTACGCTACTATACCAGTACGCTACTACGCCACTATGCTACTACGCCACTACGCTACTACGCTACAATGCTACTACGCCACTATGCTACTACGCCACTACGCTACAATGCTACTACGCCACTACGCTACTACGCTACAATGCTACTACGCCACTATGCTACTACGCCACTACGCCACTATGCTTCTACGCCACTATGCTACTACGACACTACGCCACTATGCTACTACGCTACTATGCTACTACGACACTATGCTACTACGCCACTATGCTACTACGACACTATGCGTAAAATAGTTAAATCCGTAGGTTTTTTAAGAGTCAACCCTGTCCCAGTGTATATAAGTCAGTAGCCAACGGCTACTATCATTTTGAAGTATTCTTTTGAAACTAGAAACCTCCATGTGCAGCCTAAAAATATGAGGTGTGCTGCGCAAACTACGCGACGTAAGAGCGCATGAGTTTACAGAACGTTTATGGGGAGCAAGGATGGCCGAGCGGTTAAAACGCTGGTCTATCACCGCTGTGGTCCTGGTTCGATTCCCGGTCCGGGACTATATGTGATTTGAGGTTGTAGGCTGGTTCTCTTCCTTGCTCCGAGGGTTTTTCTCCAGGTCCGCTGGTTTTCCTCCCTCACTCAAAAACTAGCTGTGAGGAGTGTCGTGTAGTAGAATAGTGAATGTTGAGGTAGTGAGTATGAGTGAATATATAGAGGGCCACAAGTTTATTAGTCTAAGGACTATTATTTCATACTTGATTCAGTTTTCTTTGTTATTCATAGTGTTGTATGTCGCTTATTCCACAGATCATCGTGCATTCAAGTGCTTTATATCGAAGTTTCAGGGCAATATCTATATATTGCCCCCATTTGAGGGAAATATCTATATATTGCCCTTGAATACTAATATATATTGCCCTTGAAAACCTAATTGACAACTTCGTTCAACTTAGAAATTTTCCGTCTGAAATTTGAAAGAAAGAAAGAAAAATTCAAATGACACCAAGTAGATTCGAACCCACAACCTTACTTCTTTGAAAATCCTACACTTAACACGTTATGCTAACTGACTAATCGATGTTATAACATAGATACTATATAACAAGCAATCTCATTGGTCCTTTATCTATGAACAAAAAATGGATGGAGCACGCTCACGCCATCACAAGTGAAAAACATTTTGCTTGTTTTTTTTCGCGCAATAAAAATGGCGGAAAATAATGAAAACAATCTTAATTACCCAAATTTCAATCTCAATGGCGAACGCTTTGAAGAAACGAACCGTTATCCGGACCTTAGTGAACAAGAATTGCAAGAAATTCTTGCAAATAAGCATTCAGATAAGACTAGAAAGACGACAAATTGGTCGGTATCGACGTTCAAAGGTAAAATTTGATTGCAAAAATGTCTCTACAAAACAGCGTAAATTACTTTATACAATTTTACAATAGTGGTACAAACAACTAAAATATCGATATTATCGATTTTAATGTTTAAAATAATAAATTATTATGCTACGGAAACTCAAAAAAGCCTTATATTTCAAAAACACATTAAATGTAAACAAAGACAAATTGCTACAGACAATTACAACAATAACAAACA